ACTGCCCTGGACAGTTTTTTCAGAAGTAAATCTCTAAGTGCATCTTTCTAAACTATTGTAGTCTGAGGCTTCACTGTAAGCGATCTACCATGAGTAGCCCTGGTAGTCCTGGCTATCTGATGACGTCACTTCCAGAAGCTCATCCACATGTAAGTCACAGTACAACAGGCTGGCAGAGGAGTAATGGACACACTGTGAAGTAGGCTTGATTTTCTCCTTTGAGTTTGATTCTAGAAAGCTTCAAGTCCTAATCATAGCAGATGTAAAGGCTTTGCTGTTTAATTTTGTGTTCCTTTTATTCTTATTGCTATATTTCTTTTACCTTTTACTTCTTCATATACATATGTGAGAATGCTTATAAAAGCTTATAGTATTTCATGTGTTATTATAAGGCTTCATAACACTTTGCCATCATTAAGTTTTAATAATAAATAAATATAAAATTTTAAATACATAAGTTTTTACCGAAATCTTCATTGGGTACAGAAAATTAATTTTTTATTTTGATTTTAACAAAAATTTCTAGAAATTGGATTTTCATTCATTTATTCTTACACATTTTTCCTCCTTACTCCTCACAGTACACTTAAAAAAAACCCACCAAAAAACTACATTCATTGCTGCAAAATTTCCTCCTACCCTACCAGTATACTTTGCTATGCACCTCTTATTCTGGACTTCTGTCATACAAATAATGCCTAATCAGATACTCCTTTTAAATAGCTCTTTCCTTCATCTGTTCTAATCCAATGTTCATTATTTATCCTCTCTTTTCTTAGTTCCCCCTCAACCTTCATTTCAGCCTTGTTTTATAACAGTGGTGTCATGAGATATGTCCTTTTGTGACTGAGATATTTCCCTCAGCATAATGTCCTCTAGGATCACCCATGTTGCGCAATATTTTATGAGTTCCTTGTTTTTCCGTGCTATACAGTATTCCATTGTGTGACTATGTCATCATTTTTCTACCCATTCATTTGTTAATGGGCATTTGGATTATGTTTATATCTTTGCTTTTGTGAATAATGCAACAATAAACATGTGAGTGCATATATCTGTTTGTGTGGCAGCTCTTGTTTCTTTAGGGTATATTCCTCAGGGTGGAATTATTGGGTCAAATGGTATTATTATTTCCAATTTTTTGAGAAAGCAACATACCACCTATGATGGCTGCACCATTTTACATTCCCACTAACAGCGAATAAAGGTTCCAGTTTCTCCACAACCTAGCCAGAATTTGTTGCTTGCTGTTCTGTTAAATTTTGCTATTCTAACTGGGGTGAGATGATATCTCATAGCTGTTTTGATTTGCAACTCTCTTAGAGCTAGGGATTTTGAACATTTCTTCATGAACATTTGTTCACATGAATGCCATCTGAATGTCTTCTTTGGTGAAGTGTCTATTCATAGCCTGTGTGCATTTTGCAATTGGGTTGTTTATCTTTTTCTTTTGAGGTGCTGGAGAAGCATATAAATTTAAGATATGAATCTCTTACCAGATATATGATTTTTGTTGTTATTTGCCTGTGACTCCTAGCGACCCTATGTTAAAACAGTCCTAAATCCTGCTCTATCCTGTACCAAGCTTTTTGTCTCTGACACACCTACCCAGTCACTGAAACAATCCATCTTATCGAGGATCTTCTTCTCCTTTGCTATCCCTCCACCCTCTCAAGCATGACATCTGTCTCCAAGGACTTTTCTCTCCTTGAAAAATGTCCAAATTATGTCAGATGAAGCTTCAGATCCTTGCCTCCAAGGAGCAGCCTAGCCTAACCCTCTCCAGGATGAAACTTTTCCTTCTCTTAGCAGTCTATGGTATATCCAAACTCTTCTCCAACACCACAACTCAATGGCATCAATTCTCCTTCTATCATCCCTCATCATTGACCAGCTCTCTGATGCATAGCAAGTGGTTGCAAAGACCATGGCATGTATCAGGCACACTTTAGTCTCCAGATTGACATCATTGCTCTTCAGTACTTTGGATAGGTTTTTAACAGTAGATTTTCCCAACGCAATACGTCTTTTAATTTCCTGGCTGCTGGTGCCATAAGTGTTGATTGTGGAGCCAAGCAAAATAAGCTGTTAACAATATCAATCTCTTCACCATCCTTCATGATGCTTCCAATTGGCCCAGTGACGAGAATCTTTGTTTTCTTGATATTGATATTCAATCCATATTGAAGGCTGCAATCCTTTACCTTCTGCAGGAAGCGTTTCAGGTCCTCCTCAGTTTCAGCAAGCAGGGTTCTGTCATCTGTATAACACAGATTGTTGATGAGTCTTCCTCCAATCCTGATACCACATTTCTCCTCATAGAACCCAGCCTCCCAGATAATCTATTCTGCATATAGATTGAAAAGGTATGGAGACAAGACACATCCCTGGTGTACACCCTTCCCAATTTTGAACCATACTGTGTTCCCTTGCTCTGTTCTGACGACTGCCTCCAGGAAGAGTGCAAAAGATCATTACAAAGACAAAAAAGGAAAAGACCAAAATGGATGTCAGAAAAGACTCCAAATATTGCACTAGAACACTGAGAAGCCAAAGCAGAGGGAAGAAATGAAGATATTAAGGAACTGAACAGAAGATTTCAAAAGACAGCATGAGAAGACAAAGTAAAGTATTACAGTAAGATGTGCAAAGAGCTGGAGTCAGAAAATCAAAGGGGCCAAACTTGCTCAGCATTTCTTAAGCTCAAGGAACTGAGGAATAAATTCAAGCTTTGAGTTGTAATACTTAAGGATGCTTTGAGCAGAATATTAAATGATCCAAGAAGTATTAAAAGAAGATAGAGTATATAGAGTCATTGTGCCAAAAGGAATTGGTGGACACAGAAGAATTTAATGAAAAAATGTATGAGCAAGAGCCTATGGTGATGAAGGAGGAAGTTCAAGTTGCTCTGAAAGAACTGGGAAAAAACTAGGGCCCCAGGAATTGATGGTACACCAATTGATATATTTCAGCAAACAGATGCTGCCCTAGATGTGCTCACCAAGTTGTGCCAAGAAATCTGGAGGACAATCACCTGGCCAACTGACTGGAAGAGATTATATTTGTTCCCATTCCAAAGAAAGGTGATCCAACTGAGTGTGAAAATTATCGAATAATATCATTAATATCACTTGCAAGCAAGATTCCGCTGAAGATTATAAAAAAAAAAATGCACATCAACAGAGCACTGCCAGAAATTCAAACTAGGTTTATAAGGGGTCGTGGTCCTGGGGATATTGTTGCTGTTGTTGATTGCTCTCAAGTAGAACATGACTCGTAGCAACCCTATGAACAAAAGACCTGAAGCCTTTTTATAACTATCGACATTTATCAATGTTCATAGACTTTCTGGAGTGGATGCCACTCCTGCTTCCAATCAACTGAAGCCTCAGTCCAATTATGTTAGGTGGATCTTGGCTGTGTTTCATTGACTATGCAAAGGTGTTTGACTGTGTGGACCAGAATAAACTGTGGCCAACTCTGAGAAGAATGGGAATCCTAGAACCCTTGATCATGAATGATGCATTATTACCAAATATATTTTCCCAGTATGTGGGTTTCCTTGTTTACCTTGTTGTTGAAGTTTTTTGATGTGCACAGGGATTTGATTCTTAGAACGTCCCGTTCATCTATTTTATTCTCTCCTGGTTGTAGGTTCTTCAAGATGCTTGGACGCCTGTTCATATTATGGATTAGGGCTTCTAGAGTTCTTTCAAGTTTTCTCTGATGAAGTTTATAGTCCTTGATTTTACTCCTAAGTACTTGATCTGCTTTGAGTTGGGTTTTGTGTATGGTGTGAGATATGGGTCTTCCTTGAGTTTTCTACAATTTTCCAATTTTGCCTACACGAGGCTTTCATTTTTCCACTTTACTGACTTCATCTCCTTGTAAAAAATCAGTTGACTCTGGGCATATGAACTGATTTCTGGGTTCTTAATTCTATTCCATTGATCTATGTGTCTGTCACTGTACTGGTACCATGCTGTTTTGAACACCACGGCAGTGTAGTAAAATTTGAGATTAGGGAGTGAGATGTCTCCTACCTTGTTTCTCTTTTTCAGAAATGCTTTACTTATTTGGGATCTCTTTCCATTCCAAATGAAATTGGAAATTGCCTTTTCCATCTCATTGAAGAATGGATTGGTATTTGTATTGGCATTGCATTGAATTTGTACATTGCCTTTGGTACAATTGTCATTTTCACAATATTGAATCTTCCTGTCCATGAGCATGGTATTTTCTTCCATTTCTCCAGGTCTCTTTTTGTTTCTTGTAGTAGTATTTTGTAATTTTCTTTGAATAGGTCTTTAATGTTTCTAGTTAGATTTACTCCCAAGTATTTAACCTTGTGGTTAACTATTGCGATGAGTATTGGGGTTTTTTTAGCTCCGATTCTGTATTCTCTTTGTCACTGTAGAGAAATCCAATTAATTTTTGTATGTTGATCTTGTATCCTGCCACTTAGCTGAGTTGGTTGACTATGCCCAGTAGTTTTCTTGCTGAGTCTTTAGGGTTTTCTAAATATACTAACATATCATCTGCATATAGAGATAATTTTACCCTCCTTTGTTCAATTTGGATACCTCTTATTGCCTTCTCTTGTTTTATTGCTATTACTAAGACTTCCATTACAATGAAATTAGTTTATTTTAGGAGATAAAATGGATTATCAGGTGAACATGACAAGTTGCTTTCAAAAATTACATTTTTAAGATTTAATCATACCTGGAATTTTAGGTTTTTTTATTAACTGGCAATATGAAGAATATCTCTTAGTATTATTATTTTATCCTCTCTATTATTCTAATTTCTATTACACTGCATTAAATAAAGATAAAACATTTATATATGCCATCCCATAAAATAAAAATTCAGTTCTTTGACATCTACTTCTAATTTTTTAGACATTTGTTTTTAAGTTCATAGGAATAGTCAGTCTTTGGAGGTACATCTCACAGGTTCAGTCTCATCAATTTTAACACCCACCCACTCAGTCTTACCTGCAAGCCCTGCAGATCTGAGAAGGTTTTATCAGGAATTGTGTGAATGTCATTGCTGTGCAGCATTAATAACTCCAGCTTGTTTAGGCCAGTAAAATCTGTTTCTGTCAATCTGACCAAACTGTTGTACCTGAAATAAAAACATAATTATAAACATAAAAGTAACTTGCTAATTCCTTTAACATGTTGCTGCAAATGACAGTAATACATCGAAAAAAATGTGTTTCTAAGCACGGTCATCAATTTAAAAGTGTGTGGCAACGTGTTTGAACTGTGCATGCACACACACATACTTTCACACAATGACCTCTCTTACTTTGTGCTCTAAGGAGATAATTAGGTTAAATATTTCTTGTTTGAAATAGCACTCATCTTCATCAGATGCCACAAAAGGTGGACCTTGCTGTGTCAGCAAGTTTTGCTACATTTGCATTCTTGGAATGTGCCACATTCTTTCTCATTTTCAAATATATATATATTCTTCAAATTATAATTACCTTTATTCAATCCATTCCTTTGAGGTTTTCTTCTCTCTCCTTCTTCAAGGTAGAATTCATCATTATAAACTCTCTCAACTCAACTCTTTGTTGTCTGGTTGGAATTAACCTATAGCTGATCTTCCAGAGAATTTTCAAAGGCTGTAAATTGCTTGGGAGGAAATTGCTCATCTTTCCCATGTGGAGCAGCTGGTGAATTCAAACCAATTGTATTTGGATTTTCAGCACAACTTCTTATCTACAAAGACACCAGTATCATTAAAAGTATACTCTTCTTTTTAAAGGTGCACTGGTGGTGTAGAAGGTAACATGTCTGTGTGTTTTTTTCTTACCAAAAAACTGTGTGTCTCTGATGATTCAAATAAACTCCATGAGAGATAAATATGCAGTCTCTTCTCATTAAGATTTACAGCCTGGGAAACCAAAACTCATGACAGTGAGTTTGAATTTTAATTTGGTAAAAACCTAGGCTTTGAAAACAAATGGATTGGATAAGTTTGTATATTTGGACACTTAGTAGCTGTGCAGTAACTAACTTAATAACTTAGCAATTGTGCAATAGTAAAATCAACACCTTTCTTTACCTCAGTTCTCTCGCGTGTAAAATTCAAGTGATAAAAGAATTTATTCCAAAGGAGCTACAAGAATTAAATGAATGAACACACGTAATCAGCCCAAAGCCCTTATATAATAAGCACACAATTTTCTTCTTAGTCATGGAGTTGGCTCCAACTCATAGCAATCAATATTCTGAAATCCTGCAAGAGCTTGCACCCTCCTCACAACCTCAACTGTGCATAAGCTCTTTGTTGTAGTCACTGTCAATTCATATAATTGAAGATCCTCCTCTTGTTCACTGACCCTCTATTTCTCCAAGCCTGATATCCTTCTCCAGAGACTGGCCTCTCCTAATTACATGCACAAAGTCTGTAGGATGAAGTCTCACCATTCTTGCTTCTAAGGAACATTCTGGTTGTACTTCCTCCAAATATATTTGTTTGTTCTTTTAGCACTCCATATTCAAGATTCTTTGCCAGCACTACAATTCAAAGTCACAAATTCTTTGTTCTCCCTTATTCCTACAACTTTCATGTCTATAAAGCAACTGAAAATGGCATACTGTGGGACAGGTACACGTTGGTCTTTATTATTTTTTTTAACTACAGAAGTCATATGGCTTTTTAAAAAAATTTTACCTAAATTTATTATTCATTTCAGTAAAAATTTACACAGACTTTGGATTTCCATTCATTCATTGTTGCACTTTTATCCCCTCCCAACCCTCCCCCCTAGTACACTACCCTCGTGGAAAAGTAAAAGAAAAATTCTTTCATTGTTTTACAAACCCTCCACCCAGGTCCACTCCACCATGCAGCCTTTGCTCTAGACTCATGTCATGATAAAAATAACTAATCACATGTCCCTTTTAAACAGTTTTCCCCCTCATCTGTTTCAATGCAGTATACATTATTGAACTCATCTTTTTCCATCTCTCCCCAACCCCAAGGTCAGTCCTGTTTTACAACAATGGCAACATGTGGTATTTGTCCTTTTGTGACTGAGATACTTCACTCAGCATAATGTCCTCCAGGATCACCCATTTTGAATAATATTGCATGAGTTCCTTGTTTTTAATGCTGTGTAGTATTTAATTATGTGAATATACCACAGCTTCTCCATCCATTTGTTTGTTGATGGGCACTTAGGTTGTTTCCAACTCCTTGCTACTGAACAAAGCTGAGATAAACATGGGTGTGAGTATTTCTGCTTGGGTGTCAGTTATGGTCTCGTTGGGGTATATTCCCAGTAGTGGAATTTCTGGGTCAAATTATATCTCTATTTGCAACTTTTTGAGAAAGTACCATACTGCCTTCCACAGTGGTTGCACCATTTTACACTCCCACCAACAGTGAATAAGGATTCCAGTTTCTTCACAACCTCACCAGCATTTGTTGCTTGCTGTTCTGTTAAATTTTGCAATTCTGACTGGGGTGAGATGATATCTCATAGTTGTTTTGATTTGCATCTCCCTTAGAGCTAGGGATTTGAACATTTCCTCATGTGCTTGTTAGCCATCTGAATGTCTTCTGCGATGAAGTGTCTGTTCACATTATGTGCCCATTTTTCTATTGGACTATTTACCTTTATCTTGTTGTGGTGACATCTTGGTCTTTAAAGTGACATTATTGCTCTTTGGCATTTTAAAAAGGTCCTTGGCAGCATATTCTTTTTTCTAAAGAAAGAGGTTTATTCTTTCTATTTTTAACTCACTATTAATGTAGTTCCAAAAGTCTTGAGCACTTTTCAAAATATAAACTTTTTATTTTAAACTAATTTACTCTCAAAGTTCATATACGTTGTTTTTCATATAAGATATTTCCGATTTTGTTAAACCACCCCTTCCTCCACCCATCAAATTGTGTGACCATATCATTACGCCCTCCCTTCTTACCTCTATGGTCCCTTTCCCCTCCTTAGATCATCCTCATACATGTTTTACTAGTTATCTATTTCTACAATGGTCTTATACAATATTTGTCCTTATGGAATTGCAATTATTCGCTTAGTATTGTGTTTTCCAGGCCCTCCCAAGCTAGCTAGTGATTTACAAAATAATTTTCCTGTTGCCCTGCACAGTGTTTCATCATGTGAATGTACCATAATTTCTCAATCCATTTGATTGTGGGTCCATGTTCTTGTGATGGTGAATAATGTTGCTATGAACACTGTCATAAAATTCTCCTTTTGTGCCTCAGTTCTCATTTTCTTGGGGTGTATTCCAAGTAGTTGAGTAGGTGGGTCATATGAAATTTCTATATTCAGCTTTCTGAGGAATCGCCAAATTGCTTGGCAGCTGAGTTGCCCATTGTGATGTATCATTTGATTTCCTTACTGCTGTTTCCATGGGTGTTAATTGCAGAACCAAATAAATCCTTGAAATGTCAATCTTTGTTCCATTTATCATGATGTCGTTCATTGCTCCAGTTGTGAAGGTTTTTTTCTTCTTCTTGATGTTATAGTGTAACCTACACTGAAGGCTACAATCTTTCATCTTTGTCAGTAAATCCTTCACATCCTCTTCACTTTCAGAAAGTAAGGTTGTACCTAACTTGGGAAGGACTGGAGAGTATGATGCTGAGTGAACTAACAGTTCCATAAGGACAAATACTTTATAAAACCATAATTGTAGAATGAGTATGAGGATCCAAGGGAGGGGGGTGTGAAAGCAGAGGGGTGAGGATTTGTGGCGGGGAAGAATAATCTTGGGATAACACAATTTGATGAATGGGGGGGATGAGAGAAATGGAAAGGATCTGGTTTGAGAAACAATGTGTTCAAATTTCACACATAAACTAGTATAAAAAATTGTAAAGAATATATAGGAATAATTGTATGAAACAATATAAATTTAAAGATTGTCTAAAACACTGTGTATATGAATGAAACATACTATAAAGGTATTATTGTATAAAAATCAATTAAAATATTTTTTTAAAAAAAGAAAGTAAGGTTGTGTCATCTATATATCTCAGATTGTGATGAATCTTCTTCTAATTCTGAAACCACATTCTTCTTCATTCCAGCTTCTCAGATTACTTCCTCAGCATACTCATTGAACCTGTGTGGTACAAGGACATAGCCTTGAAATAAATCTTTCCTGATTTTAAGCCAGGCAGTTCCTATGTGTCTGTTTGAAGGACTGACTACTTCTTGCTTTATGCATGGATTCCTTATGAATACAGTTGTAGTTCTGAAATTCCCATCCATTTTGAAATAATCCAAATTTATTATGAATCATATAATTGAATATCTCTACGTAGTCAATAAACATAAATAAACGTCATTTTAGTATTTTCAACTTTCAACTAAGATTCATTTGACATCGGCAATGATGACTTTCATCCCTTAGCTTCCTCAAATCCACTTGAACTAGTAGTTCTATGAAGATGCATTGATCCAGCCAGTTTTTAATTACCGTAAGCAAGATTCTACTTGTATGTGATGTTAATGATAGTGTTCAACAATTTCCACATTCTATTGTTAGATTATATTCTGTTAGATTCATATTCTTTCTGTGGAATAGGCCATCAGATGCATAAGTTTAAGCTTGTTTAATCTATTTTATCATAACAAATATAGAATGACTAAAACTTTCAGTTACTTTGTCTTACTTGTATCCACAATAAACACTGTTGGTACCAGCAGTCTGAAGATCAGGGACTTCTCCAAAATATTGAGGAGCAATGATGCCAGTTTGAGGACTAAGGTCACCTGATTCAGGTAATAATATTTTCAATGCATCTGAGATATGGACAATGAATAAGGATGACAAAAGAAGAATTGCTGCCTTTGAGCTATGGTGTTGGAGAAGAGTACTGAATATCCCACAGATTTCCAAAAGAAAAAACAGATATGTCTTGGAGAAGGTGCAGCCAGAGTGCTCCTTGAAGACAAGGATGGTGAAGTTTTATCTCACACATTTTGGGTATGTTGCTAGGAGAGGCTATTCTTTGGAGAATAACATCAGGCTTAGTAAGGTGGATTGGTACATACACTGATTGTAGAAATAGGCTGTCAGAGACTGTGAGGATGGCACACAAGATAGGGCAGGGTTCAGATCTGTTGTTCAGAGGTCATATTTGACTTGATGGCATCTAATATCAACCAAATTGAGCTGAAGAAAATGTAAATTGGTCTATGAGAACCAAACTCTGATCCTGAGCATTCATTGTTGTTGTTATGTACCGTCAAATTGCCTAGGACCCATGTTGTTGTTGTTTGAGTTGAGCATGACTCATAGCGACCCTATGAACAAAAGGCCTGAAGCCTTCCTATAACTATCAATGACTGTTATACTTAAATCAAAGAGTCTTTAAAAATTACTTAGTTAACGTTTTTCTGATCTAGCAACAATTCTTTTGTTCTGTGAACAACAACTTTGTTCTGTCAACAATACGTATAACCAAATAATATCATTTTAGTTAATATTCACAATACAAGTTACATTTTCATTCACTGACTCAGACACTCTTGGTATTATAACATTAATTTCAATACCCACCATGTGACTGCATATCCCCACTTCCTCCCTGTAATTATTATTTTGATTTATCTTTCTATACCTCTTGGTGTCTTCCTTCTCTTTTTGTATATTGCCATTCTCTTCACCTTAACAGATTTTCATACACAGCTTTTACATACTAGAGGGTACTTACAGTTTTTCTTTCTTTCTTTCTTTCACTGATGATATATCTTAACTTTAATTGCGAACAGAGGCTACAAGAACAGAGGCCAGTAAAATATAACCAGAATGGTGCTTTTCTACAGTCACATGTCTAACATGTGGGTTGTTAGACAACCCACTAAAAGTATCTTCAAGTTGTAGAAGAAGTTTCTTTCTTAAAAATTTACCAATTAAAATGTTTTAATTGCTCCCACAAACTTTGATTCTCATTTCAGTAGAGAAATACTGTTAAAATAATGGTGGCAAATATTTCTAAGCCTCAGAGTTTTGAGGGCAAGCAGAGGTGTGATCATTCCCCCTTTGCAAAGGGACAAAACAAGGGACACACACACCCTAAATTGATGCGTTGCACGCTGGGCGGAATGCCATCTGGGATAGAAGTCAGGTATCGAAATGTGCAGTGTATCTCTGTAGGCATGTAACAGCTGCATCAGCGAGGACAGGCCCTGCTGCTAGTTGTGACCACCAAGCAGATAACAGTAAAGGATACCAGCCAGCAGGTGATTCCTCTGCCTTTCATCTTCATCCTGAAACAGTATCACACTGAGAGTTACAAATAGGGATACAGCAGAGGTGCCAGTACCACCAAACATAGTAACTTTGGAGTTATGCAGAGTAACTCTGTGGTTAAACACAGTAAACCTATTTTACAAGCCTTTAGTGGCCAATTTAATTTACAACGTTCGTGGTAAACTTAGTTTCAACCAAACTATAGTACTTTCTGGCCTCACATTGGGCTTTGTGATCAAGTGAAATATTTACTTTTGTAAAAATTCCTTCACAGCTTCTCATTTTGTAACAAAAGCAGCAACCCCTATTATGTACAAGCTCATCAAAAGGGAGAGTAGACATCCTTGTGAAGATACTACAACAATTTAAACACATAAATGTTAATTTCCTTTTCTTATGTAAGTTCTTTTACATTAACTTTACAAAAACCCCAACTCTGATTACAAAAGCAATAAATGTACATTGTAGAAAAATTTGAAATGGTAAGTACAAAAAAGACAATAAAATTATTCATAATCTCTCTACTCTGATGTAATCATTGACATGTGGGGTATGATGTACATATGAGAATAACTTTTTAAATGTCTTTTCATAATTTAATGTATAATGTGGTTTCCATTTTACTATACACTCTTCAAAACATTTAATGTGAAGGTGAATAAATTTATTTCTAATGTGTCATCAAGTGTTTGTAAAAAAAAAGACACACTGGGCAGTGGACCTGTCAATGGAGATAAGCAGTAACTGCCACCTGGGAGGGCAGAGCCTTGGACCTGCTCTGAGACCACAGAGGCCCCGATTGTCAGACAAATGGGAACTGATAAGAAAAGGGATCCTGAAATTCAGAACACTCAAAGGTGACAACACATTTTTATTATCTTTTTATCAGAAAAATAATCATATTTTTGAAACATCTTACATCCTAGGAAAAACAATTTTTTCTTTCTTTCTTTCTTATTTTTTAACTTGAAAGAGGAAACATTAGTTGGCAACCCAGAGGAACTCTTGTTCCAAAGATCTGGGCCAGAATGATTTATCTTTGATTCACCCAGCAATCGCCATGCAATATGAGTCATTCTGCAAACATCTTAGATACTGTATTTCAAGAATCTTCATATAAGCATAAAATTAATAGAATTAGTACTAAACAACTTAGCTTGAATTAAAGCTTAATAAAAGATCAGTCAAGCAGTCATTGTGCACTTGTTAATTACTTAGTTATAAAACGTTTAAGTAAGCTTTTTATTATTGGAAACAGCATTTCTACTTACTAGATGGGTGGGGGGGAGTCACAGCACGGTGTAAGTAATATTATTTTGTTGTTGTTTAACTGGAAAAAAAAAGTTCTGATGTGCCCAAATGAGTTATTTAAGTGAGGGGAAAGTATGGAAGACTATATAGATGGTAGATTTGCACAGAACTTAGATCGGAGAAATCATACAGTAAAATATTAGCATTCACAATACCTGAGCTCTTCTTTAGTCATGAATCCTCTTCTAAAATAGACAATCTTCTTAGAAAATAGAATATGGTATCCAAATCTGAATGTGGAAAAGTTTTCTGTTCCCAAAGTGATTTTGTTTTTTGACTGAAGCTCCGGAGAGCCTCAGAGAACTGGAGGCGCCTCCAAAGCTGCAGAGGGCTGTGTTATCAAGATGTGTTCCCTTCCTGCCCTCACTGCTGTTAGAGAAACAAAAGACAACACAGGAGCTTTTAAATGGTCCTAAGTGCCTAATAGTACAGTCTTCACCTCCTCTCGGCTTACTCAGGATGTGACTGCCTTGCTTGTTGGTGGGTCCCTGCCACACGCTCTACAGGGCTTGGCGCGTCTCTGCGCCTAGTGCGCACTGTGCAGAGAGCCCTCGCCACCCTCTCCGTGCGCCACTGCTCTTCCAACCGCCCCTGTCTCCGCCTCGCTCAGCAGTGAGCTCACGCAGCCTGCTGCCTCTCAGGGAGACTGGGACTGAGCCCGCAGACTCAGGGCAGGATAGTTGTGGGGTGGTACTGATTTACGTGTGTTGGGGGGAGGACACGGATAGTAAATAACCACAGAACTCCCTTTTATTTCTGCATTAGACTCGGGGACGTCCATTCACAAGCAGTTTCTTTGCTGTTTTTTTATCCCCAGGGATGCCAGCTGGGTTGCGCATTTCCAATTGACAGGTGGGCTTTTAGTAACTCTCTACAGTCTACATTACCATAGCTCCCTTTTGTTTAAAGATCCTTTATTGATTTTATTTTGAGTGGATTTTACTGAGCATTTTTATTTTCATTCAATCATTCAAATGTATTTTGTCTTAGAACATTAATTACAATCGGTTCATGCACATAATTGTAATGTCTCCTCAAACTTTAAAAGTTTAGTTTGGAATCTTCAAGATCATCAGAAGGTAGTTTTGCTTCTATGTCTTCCCGGAGTTCAGTATTAAGACTGCAGATAAACCGTAAGTGTACTTGCTTAACACTTGCATTTTAACCTTGTCTAAAAGACCACATCATGACAAATGTAGAAAAGGTTGACGTTATCAAGGATTTCGTTTTATTTGAATCCTCAAGCAACACCCGTGGTAGCAACAGTTTAAAAAAAAAAAAAAAGACGTGTTGCAATGAGGAAATCTGCTGTCAAGAACCTCTCTGAAGTGCTAAAGATCAAAAATGTTGGTCTAAAGACTAAGGTGTACCTGGTCCAAGCTATGTCTTTTCAATTATTTCCTGGGCATCTGAAAGTTAGACAGTGAATAAGAAAGACTGAAGAAGAGTACATGTCTTTCTATTACGGTGTTGGCAAAAGTATATTGCATACAACAGGAAAGACAAGTTATGGAAGGAGCTAAGAAAAGCATTGATGGAGAGAAGAAGGGGTTTGCAGGTCCCAGAGCAGGAAGAAACCTTCTACCCACATCCTATCCACAAGGAGAGAGCACACATGAACCTTGATTGGTGGTCACTGCTGCTTGAGAAGTAGTAGAAAGTTTGCATGCAGAATTCCACGATTGGAAACAACAAAGACAGTCTACACGTGGATTCCAGGGACTGGAAATGGCAAGAATAATACATGCACAGTGATTGGAAATGGCAGAGAAAGCCTATGTGCCAACTTCAATGATTGTTGTTGTTATGTGCCATCTAGTCGCTTGCGACTCACAGCGACTCTATGTACAAGAGCCCTAAACGCCGTTCTATCCTGTGCCAACCTCTCTGTCTCAAACACATTTATTCCCACTACTCCAGTCCCAGAATCTATCCATCTCATCGAAGGTCTTCCTCTCCTTCACTGCCACTCTACTCTGCAAAACATGATATGTCCCTCTCCAAGGATCAGTCCCTCCTTGCAACATGCCCAATGTTGTCCGGTGAAGCTTCCGAATCCTTGACTCCAAGGAGCATTCTGGTTTCACCTTCTCCAGGACAAACCAAAAGGAAATAGCAAAATTCAAGGGGCCAGCTATATATAGAGAAAGACAAAGCTATCCAGGCTTCCCATACCCTATAAAATCCATAAACAACAGAAGCCCAGTGGCTTCCTTCTCTAGAAACCCCTACCACCGATGGAGTTTCCTTCTATACTTTCTTCAGTAAACTTTGCTTAAGCTCATTCTGACTTCAGCTTGTATGGTGGGTGAGTTCATTTTTTTTTTTAAATTGTATTGCTAATTTCAATGAAAATTTAGAGACTTTGGATTTCCATTTATTCATTGTTGCACTTTTCTCCCCTCCCAACACTCCCCTCCCAGTACACTTCCCTCTTGGAAAAGCAAAAGAAAAATTCTTCCATTGTTTTACAATCCCTCCCCCCAGGTCCACTCCATTATGCAGCCTTCACTCTGGACTCCTGTCATGACAAAAACACCTAATCACATATCCCATTTAAACCGTTTTCTCCCTCATCTGTTTCAATGCAGTATACATTATTGAACTCATCTTTCTCAGTCTCCCCCCAACCCCAAGGTCAGTCCTGTTTTACAACAGTGGCAACATGCAGTATTTGTCCTTCTGTGACTGAGATACTTCACTCAGCATAATGTCCTCCAGGGTTACCCATTTTGAATAATATTGCATGAGTTTCTTGTTTTTCAATGCAGTATAGTATTCCATTGTGTGAATATTATCCATTTTTTTGTTGATGGAAACTTGGGTTGTTTCCAACTCCTTGATATTGTGAACAAAGCTGGGATAAACATGGGTGTGCATATACCTGCTTGGGTGGCAGTTATGGTTTCTTGGGGGTATATTCCCAGTAGTGGAATTCCTGGGTCAAATGGTATCTCTATTTGCAACTATTTGAGAAAGCGCCATATTGCCTTCCACAGTGGTTGCACTTTCTACACTTCCAACAACACTGAATAAGGGTTCCAGTTTCTCCACAACCTCGCCAGCATTTGTTGCTTGCTGTTCTGTTAAATTTTGCAATTCTGACTGGGGTGAGATGATATCTCATAGTTGTTTTGATTTACACTTCTCTTAGAGCTAGGTATTTTGAACATTTCCTTCATGTGCTTGTTAGTCATCTGAATGTCTTTGGTGAAGTGTCTGTTCATATCCTGTGCCCATTTTTTTATTGGATTATTTACCTTTATCTTGTGGTGCTCAAGTATTTTATAAATTCTATACAGAAGTCCCTTATCTGACATGTCATTACCAAATAATTTTTCCCAGTCTATGGCTTCCTTTTTTACCCTGTTGGAGAAGTTTGTGGATGTGCATAGGGATTTGATTCTTAGAAGGTCTCATTCATCTATTTTATCTTCTCCTGGTTGTAGGTGTTGAGTTCATTCTTCCATATCTCCATTGCCTCTTGGTAACACTTGCACTGCCAAACAAATCTGTCTTGGAAGAAGGGAAGTCAGGGTGCTCCATATCCGGGAAGATAGTGAAACATTGGATCACATAATTTGGCCATGGTTTCAGGAGGAACCAGTCCATGGAAAAAGACATGCTGGATAAATGAAAGAAAGAAGGATCCTCAAAGCAGGGGATTGACACAGTGACTTTAAGGATGGGTTCCAGCATGCTGGA